AACGCATTAAAGCTCTCCATCCAATAAAAATGACATTGTGTTTTGCAGAAACAACAGTGTCATTCAGAGGTCGAGGGCTGAAGGGTCATGAATTGCATTGTCCACAAGGATACACAGGACTAGTGCTGAAAGAGGTCCAAAAGCCTGTGTCCGATCAAGAGGTGACATGATCTGCACTTTTCTTGGAAATATACATATATGATCTACTAAATAACACATTGTTAACATAAATTGTTTTGGCATTTGCTTTTAGGATAGAATAGTTAAAGTTTCTTCAGTGTTCCATAATTTCACATACTGGAACTTGGAGACACCACCCACATCTGATGATGGAGTTGTGATGGCTATGGCATGGCCTCAGCTCGCAGAAGCGGTAACTCTTGATAACCACTTATTTACATAATTAGAATCTGATTTTCAATTTAATTCAGAGAAACATTTTCTCTCAATTGAATTAAAATGTCTAAACTTCTTACTTCTTTCTGCAGATGCACAGACCAGTAGACGAATGATAATGGACTTTTTTTATTATTGTGGATACCTGCTTCTTTTCAAGTACATTGTTACAGTAAAACCAATGTGAAAATGATTCTTTTCTGGAAGTCAGAACAGCTAACTCGCTGGGATGCGAGTACCAAACTGATATTGACCAAACTCGCTACCAAACTGATATTGAAGTATGAATGTCATAATGTAATATGACTAACTATTAAAATTTTGTTTTATTGTTTACCTTGTGCAAGCTTTTACTTTCGCCATATATTTGTCCATTATTTACCAGTAAGTAATACTTTTTGATCTGATATACCCTACCATTTTAAATTTTGGAGTCATTGAGATGTTTTTTACATTTCTGATTAAAGTCTCTTATGCTCACCATGGTATTTAATGCTGATTTGGTGCCTAAGAAATATTACTACGAATGTTGTAAACATTTGTTCTGCTTAATGTTTTTGTAGAAAACAAATTGTTTTAGGATTATTTGATGAACAGAGAGTTCAAAAGGAATCAGTTAATTTGAAATAGAAATTATTGCAAATTGTTACATTATAAATGTCCTTAGTCACTTTTGAGCAATTTAAAGTGTCCTTCCTTCACGACTAAAATAATTTATTATATTTTTCTTACCGACACCAAACTTTTGAATGGGAATGTAGTTCTCTACATTTTATTTTAACAAATAAATGGACTGATCCCAAAAGCTGGTTTTAATTTATTGTACCTGTAAGAAATGTTTCACCATCTTTCCCTCTCACACAAAAAATGCACAGAACACATATACAGAAAAACTCTTCCTTGTAGTGAGACAGTCATCTATCTGCTCTAACGGATCTCAAAGTTCCCCTATTATGCTATTTTAAAGGTTCCTAATTTGTTTTGGAGGTCTCCTACAATAGATTTACATGCATCAAAGGTCGAAAACATTTAAATTTTCTTATAATATGTGTTGCACCTCACCTCATTTCTCAAAGAGTCTGAAAATAGTTTGGTCGAAGATTCAGTCTCTCTAAACCCCTCTGCACTGATTGGCCAGATGGCCCAGTCTGTTGTGTCTACCACTTACAGTGCATATCAGAAACAAAAATGCCTATTACCATATACTAATTTCAGCTCTGGAGGCTTCCTCAGGGCTTGATCCACAGTGATACGAACAATGACAGGTTTTTCCGTCTCAGTTCCAGCGCGAGTCCAGATCCTTTTGAAGCACATGTAAAATGGATTTGCAGAGCTGAAAACAGCATCTTCTCGTTATGTCGACAACACGAACCAAACTTTTCAAGGCCTCAGCTACATCTACAGTGTTGGAGGGCAGGACAAAGTAGATGTCGTTCACAGGCAGCCAATGAAGACCATAGGCTGGCATTATGCAAAATATGTTACATTGTTACATTGGTATATAACACTGGTAAAGTAATATTTTAAAAGCATAATAGGGGGACTTTAATGCTTATTTCTTGATATACCAGCAACAGTACGCCTTAAGAGACAAAAAAAATAACATATTAAAATGCAAAACACCATGAACGGGAATTCATTATTAAAAGGTTTCAATATACTAGGTCTGTGTGCTAGAACCAATCTTGGTTTAGTTTTCTTTTTATAAAAACAATTTACCAATGAAGATTAAAACCAGGTTGTGCAATACAAATATCAAGAACTACAACTAGTGAATTAACAACAAAAACCTTGTTTTTGTTACATTGGTTCTGTTTGTATATGGCATGGATCAGTCAGGTGGAATCCTTTCCAATGCCTTTACTGTTTTGAAGGATGAGCCACAAATGTATAGACGTGGCACTTTATGTTTTTGTGACATTTGCAAAAGCCTTCAGCAGGATTTTGTGTAATTTTCGAAATGACCAAATAAAAAGATTGGACCACAATCAATGGCTACGTCTGATGAGGAGGAGGAGGCGGCGGTGGTGATGGTGGTGGAGGGTCCGACTCAACTCTGCTGCGTTTGACTGGCAGGTCGTGATCATGTGCCTTTCTGATGTGCCTGTACAAGTCTCCAGACTGTGTGTAACTGCGGTAACAGTAGCTGCACTCATACGGCCGCTCCCTGGTGTGCACAATGGCGTGTCTCCTCAAGGTGTAAGCACAGGAAAAGGTCTTTCCGCAAGTGATACAAGTAGGCACATCCTCCATGTAACTCCCAAGGGAGTCGTGAATATCCTCGAGGTACAAGGTCTGTTGCTCCGGGTGGGAATTGGCAGGAAAAAGGGATGATGGCAGGCCAGCGGTTTCGGCTGCAGAAGGATTTGGACCTTGCGGTGAAGGAGGGAAAGAAATGGGTTCCTGATGGGGAAGATGAATTAATGGGTGTGCTGTTATAAATTGAGTATCAGTAAGCTCCTCAACATCACGGTTGCTGTCGTCATAATCATCCCCATCGTCTAAATCTTCATTTATTCTTGGGCCATTATCCATGTCCACCGTCTCGTCTGTGTCATCAGACTCTTCATCAGAAATCACAATGGCCTCTACTTTCACTTCAAAGCTCTTTTCATTTTCCTCCCCTGAAGTTTGTGAAAGATTTCCTCCCCTAAAGTTTTGTGAAAGTTTACGCTTATTTTGCATCCTACTTGTATTGGACGAAGTGTTTTCATGTCTCCTCTCGTTTTGGCTCTGAGTGTGCTGTGATGACCCTGGATTCCCAGAACTTTTAGTCTGAACTTGGGGTTTTAGTATTTGAGTCGGCATGAAAACATTAGGTTCAAGTTCTTGGGCAGCGGTGGTGTTGTCCACACTGCTCAGAGCCACGGCAGTGGCTACAACAGGTTGAGTGTCTGTCTGAATTAGTTCTGTTGTACTACACGGACTTGAAAGTGCAGACTCAAGGCTAGCAGACCGTGCCGATATTCTTGTTTTGTCAGGTCTAGGCGATGAACGATATGTGGATGGTCCTGAACAAGAATTACTAACAGCTGGTAGCGAGTCCATTCCTGGTTGGGTGGTGTCTGCCATCTCTGACCTCTCCACGCTGTGTGTGAGGAGGTTAGCCATCCCTGCTTGTGTTTCAGTCTTGGTATTGATATAAAGTGACATTTGTTGGCTCGACTGATGACAATGTTCAAGTCCTCCATCTCTTCCTGTTTCTGCGCCAGGTACATCTTTTCTAGGCGAGCCATCAAGCCCTCCAGGTTTAGCAGGCTCATTTGCACCAACTTCTACTCTAGTGCTATCCGCCTCAGCCAATCCTCGGCCCTGAAGTCTTCTCTTACAAACTCGCACCACATCATTCATATGTAAGAAGCTGGCTGCGGCGAGCACGTCCTCAGGAGGGGGGTGGGTTGCTAATTGCAGTACTCCTTCATACATGAAATCAAGAAGGAGTCCAAAGGCTTGCGGGGTCACGATATCTCCATTAATAGTGACTGTGTCTCTCTGTGGCCCTCCATTAACTGTGCTGGTATTTCCTATAGACTGATCTGAGTAAAACATATGGAAGAAAGGAGAGAAAGAGGCCAACACTGCACGGTGGGCTCCAAAACGAGTTGGGCCGACCTGCACGGTGCAGTCACACAGGAAACCTTGCAGACGCTGAGAGCGCAGGCTGGCCAAGAGCTGCTGACTATGTTCTGGGAACTCCATTTCTACTGACTACCTAGTAAAAATAGTATTCATTAATGTTATTATCCAGAAGATGTATTGTATTGTTAATACAGTGTATATATAAATGAAATATTCTAAAATATCGTTTTAATATGATAAAATTCATAATATTAGCAACTACTTCTTGTTAAGATGAAATGTTTCTTACAGAAATGTCCAGAGTAATGACCAAGTCCCCTCGTCCGCTTTAACATCTGCTGCTTTGACGCACCATCATGTTTGCTTTATTGATCCATTGACATTCTCTTGATATCAACAGTTGTTCACTAATCCATGCCAGTAAATGTATAATTCAATCCTAAAGGAATACAAACTATTTCATAATCTTCGTGTAGCTATTCTTCACACAACATATTTCTATGATGGCTTAGTACAGCAAACCTTCTCCGGAGTACCGTGATATGACATGGAAAGCGTCCTTAGTTAAAATATCTTCCAAGACAACCTCCTGAATGGTTTATTGATTCTCTGTAAGTGGAGACCAATGTGTGAATTTTTAAAACGTATATGCGATACGAGAGTGTTTTCCTTTAGGACAATACATGACAAACACACTTCTACATGTAGTATATTCAGCTTGTATATGCAAGTGTGCTCTGCCACCTACTGACGAGGAGGAAGACGAAAGAGGAAGCAACATTTGTTCTGTGATTACGGTGATTACAGAAAAACATTTTCTACATCTTTACTAAAATATTGTAAAATTTACTACTATATTGTTATTATTTTATAAGCCATAGGAGGAAAACAAATCACATGTCACATAAATTAACATTTATTTTATTTTAAGTAACGAAATTATAAACTATACACTTTACATGTAACTAGTTTTAACTATAACCCTTTCACCAGTAAAAGTATTTTACTAATATATTAGTTACGTCATCGATGGTTTTCGTCTGTTGCTTCACACACTGATAAGTTACCCATGATTCTCCTGCCGTCTCTCTGCCGCTTATTCAAAAATGGAGGAGAGTGAGAGAGAATCGGAAAGTGAGCGCTGTTCAGCACCTTCTCAAACATCTGAACAGCAAACCACTACTGAGACCCCCGGCCAAAAGCTAGAGACTGGCGAAGATGATGTCGAAACTAAGTTGGATATCAGTTCGGAAAAGTTTGACCCCTTACTCGCTCTGTATTCCCCGAAAGTGCCGTTGCCTTACCCGAACATCAAGTGCTTTAATAACATAGCCGAATATGAGAGCTTTATGAAAGGCGGTCGAGGCCGAGCGAAACCAGAAAATGTGGAGAAAAGACTCCGAAAAGCACAGAAAGGTAAAGCAGACCCAGAGAGGATAGAGAGGCTGAAGAAACTCATGGTGCACAACCCGGTTGAGGAGGAGGGAGAGGGAAGCGGAGTCAAGCGACCACCTCGACAGCGAAAAGCGGCCAAAAATGTGCTTACCAGAATGCCACGTACGTTTCTCTCTTTACTGTCTATGTTAGAGGACAAAAGTAAACAATAGAGGGTAGTAAACAATAAACTGTGGATTCTAAGCCAAAAGTGTTAGGTGAGTTATTCTTAGTGCTGTCTAGATAGGTAAATAATTATAGCTCACTAGGTTGTGTCTATCTTTGCAGTGCATACAGGCAGTCCATTAGGAGAGCTCAATAGGTGCGTCCAGGAGAAAATCAGAGTTAAAGTTCACATCCGGACCTTTAAAGGGCTCCGGGGAGTGTGTTCTGGCTTTGTGGTGGCATTTGATAAATTCTGGAACCTGGTAAGTATTAAAACACCTTTACTTAATATTATCGTTACTAATAAATGTTTATTAGTTCTGTTCTTTTGGTGCCAGGCGATGGTGGATGTGGATGAAACGTACAGGGACACTCTTTTGGGACAAGCTCTTTATCACGAGAAAGCTCTTACTGTCACAAGGGTAATTAATTTGAATGTTTTAATATACACCTGAATATTACGAATAACCATGTCAAATCTTGATTGGTTATAATAGAAAAATCTTTTTCTATGTACAGTGGTTTATACTGTATGTTTACGCTCTGTAATATAATTATATTGTTTAGAAATCATTTTTTTTTGTTATTACAGCTATTTGAAAAACTGAAAGTTCAAGAGACTGTGGCCCTCAGTGCGGTTGAGAGGAAAGGAGGAGATAACCTCTTAAAGCCAGACCCACACAGTAGCCGAGACCAAACCAGGAGTAGAACCGACCCCAAACATACCCAGGAACTCTCTGAGAAAGACAGGAGTACATCAAAAGTGACACAACAATCTGAAAGCAAGCCTAAAGTAAAGTATGGGAGAGTGCACACGCGTCATGTCAATCAGCTTTTTATACGAGGAGAAAACATTCTTCTTGTAAACGTACAACAGGACTAGATACTGTCCTTATGAAATATTAAAGTGTAAATATAATTCTCCATGAAAGGTTTCATAATATGAGTGTATCATATTGATATGTATATCAATAGGTAAAAGGAATGTGCTAATGTAAAAAAAAAAAAAAAAAAAAAATTCTTAATGTTCCTTGAGAAAATCCTTAATTTTGTTTGGTTTATGAGCTGATGTCACATACTGAACACACTATTTGTTTTTGTTTTGAATGACCACTAGGGGGAAGTAAGACACTGATTCAAATTTAGCCTTATTTTTGTTACACATTTTATAAATTTATCATTGGGGAAATGGAAATCTATTTAACAAATCATTACTGATATTCATTTCACTGCTTGGTTAAAATGAAAGTAATTGATCAATCTCACTAAAACTCTAGGCCCGTCAATACACTCTTATTTTAATGTCAAACTGAAAACTGTTCTATATGATGATATTTATCTCTTTTAGTGTAAAAAATGCATTTGGATTTCTCCATGGATTTCATAAAATCCGTACAAATGGGTAAATTGAGCTTTTTGAGGTTGGAAATTGCATGTGGCACTCAAGGCTTTTTGTCTTGACATGTTTGAATTTTATTTCCCCCTTTCTGCATATTTTAGGCTTACATTTCTCACATCCTGAAAGTATGAAAACACTTTCTGTTCACTTTATTTATATCTAAGAGTTCCTTGTGATTTTACTTGGTTACATGTACATATAAAATGCTTTATATCATGTTATGCTTTAACACTTGTTCTACATTTTTTAAAAACAAATAATCAAGCCATGAAAATCTCAGTATCTTTAACCATTCTATATTTATGTGGAAAAGTCCAACATTTTGTTGCATATGCATAAAATGATTATTGGCACTGGCTAGGGGAACATGTTTTCGGATAGAAAATAAATATGAGAAAGTAATTGTAGGATACAGAATCATTCTACACCGAGCAAAATGTATACATAAACACTGGGAACTGTAGCCAGTTTCCTTGTCAGTTAATGTGATGTATTCATTTAATGCCAATTAAAAAGTTCAGTGGAAATGGGACATGTGGCTCTACTGCTTTCATCCAATTAATACAGCAAAATTAACATCGGAAGCCAGGTCCTTGGAGGACTCCAAGAACAGACTATTTTTAAGACATGAGATTGATTAGGGGATAAAAACAAGTGTAACAATGAAAATAGAAATCAACTCTTTATTGTCATTCATAAAAGATCATAAGTACAATCAAGTCATTGTATGAAATTGAAAACATTAAACATTCTCAGTGGAAGAAATTTTTTGTTTTTTGTTTTTTGTTGCTTGCTGTAGATTTGCATAAACATATAGTGTTTCCAGTAACACTCCCCAACCAAACAGACCCGACTATAAAAAAACTAAACCAACCCGTCAGGGGGACAAAAGAAAGAAACGAGAAAGGAAGAATTTGGTCATTCTGCTTGTAAAATGCCTCAGAATGGAAGAGAGGGGCTCGATTAGCGTCAGCAGAAACATGATATTGACAATACAGTGATGGTCCTCTGGATACAGCATCCAACACAGTGCTACCAGGGTTTCCAAACACACAGCCTCACCCTACACTCAGCATGAGCAGACCTGCATACAAATACGAACCCATATCGGGTTCAGATATCCTTTAGTTACCCACTCTTCCTTATAAGTTAACCATGCAAAAACATAAAAAAGTGTATGCATATATGTAGACCACTCTAGATGTATCATCTTTAACAGTACCTTTAATAAATACTGTACTTTTCATATTGTATAAAGAATTTATTTTAGGAAGGCTGACAGGCACCATGTGTTTAATGACAAATTTTCATAAAGATGCAAAGTAGATCAGATTACACATTTACTATTTAAGGCCACAAAGGTTTTGATTTGGAGTTGTAATTCTATCATCTTGATTTTAGAGTACTTCATTTCTCTTCAGAAAATGGTTAAAATCAAATACAAAATGGCAAAGTGATCACAAGCTTTACTCCGTACAAAAATCCTCACCGTCATAATTCGTTAATCATGGAACTCAATAACTTATTGTCTGCGCGCAAAAATATTTACAGGTTATCATCTTAAGGCAGAGTAGAGGAAAGGCCAGAATGGATTATTAGGATTTTTCAACAGTATTAGAAACCCAAATATTTCCTGGGTTAAATTAACTAGCTATATAAGAGGATAAGGCCAATCAAGAGTCATTCACCATCATCACATTCCTTAAAGCGATATCCCGACGCAATGGAAACGTGGGACGTGCGTGAGTGTGTGTGTGCAATGACTGAAATGATTCTCAGAACAAACCAGCCACCCTCATCAGGGCTCCTTGGTGCAGCTGAATCAGAAGAACATTGAAAATAATATAATCATCCAGTTGAACATCAGCATCATATGAACAAACATTTCCTGTGAGGCTTTATTTGACATCTTTCAAGTAGTCTTTGTCTTCTAGCTCTTCATAGCTTCTTCATGGTCACATCTCCTGAAAGATTGTTCACTTAATACTTTGCAATTCATTTCCCAAAGTTGGCAAAATCTGCAAAGGCATCCTGTTTAGGCTGTCCCATGGCAGGGTTCATCCCCATTCCAGTACCCATGCTTCCTGGCATCCCCATGGCAGCTGTAGACATACCCATGTTCATATTCATTCCCATCATGCCCTGATTGACTGGCATCCCTCCCATGGGTGGCATGGTCATGACATTACCCATCATGCCAGGCTGCATCCCCATGTTCATTCCTCCCATCATGGTGTTGGTGGGCGGTCTGACCATTGTAGTGGCAGCCTGCATGCCCAGGTTCATTCCAGCAAAGCCCTGAGTCATCATATTGACAGGAGTCGGAACTCCTATTGCAGGATACAGAAAAATAAAATAAGGGCTGACAATTCATTCAAATAATCCGAATCTTTTTATTTTAGGTCCTCAATTGTTTTCGGTGTATAAAATGTCGAACTGATTAAATGTGTTTGTTTTTTAATACACTACCGTTCAAATGTTTTGGAATGGAAAGATTTTTAAAAAAGTCTCTTATGCTGACAAAGGTTGCATTTATTTGATCAAAAACTATTTTTATTTAAAAAATATTTTCCCGTGAAATCAAAATTGAACCTATTTACTTTGTTAGCACATATTACTAGTCTTGTGGTGAACAATTAATCCGTGCAAGTGAATATATATTAAAAAAATGTTTTACCTTAGTAATCTTTAATCAAAATCTGAAAAGTTACTTCCGGTCTGGAACGGTTTCTTTTTCTGATGACGTAGGCTTCACAGTTTGGGTGGGGAAACGCTTAACCACTCCCCTCAAACCGTTAGTTTGCTATGAGCGAGAGATGGAGAGGAGGAGCGCTAGAGTAAAACCCTGCCCTCTGTTCAATATTCCGTTTCACTTGGAAATACGTCACTGCACTGGAGAAAAATCGTTTGCAACTTCCGGTTCACGGGGACTTTAATATTAATATCACTGCTTAATATTTTAGTAGAAACTGATTTTTGCCAGGATTCTTGAATACAAAGTAAAACAAAACAGCATTTATTTAAAATGGAACATTTTTCAACATTATAAAATCTATTTACTGTCCTTGCTAAGTATGATTTTTTTTTTTATCTTATTTGGAAAAATGTGAACATATTAAATGTAAACGCCGTAAGGTTTCAAACTAACAGCAAGGTTCTTGATTTTGATAAAATATCCTAAATTTCCGTTTTATACCATAAAACTTTATATTTAGCATTAGCACCTTTTAAAAATTAAAGAGGAAAAATATAACAAAAAGAATGAGAAAATAAACATGGCAGATTTATCTCTTCATCTCATTCTAGTTTGTATACATCATTGCCTTCCCATTTTAACATGTCCTCATCCCATACAGACTCTTTTAACTGACTCAGACTTTTTTTTTTTTTTTTTTAACTTTTTAGAGCTCATTTAATTTACTGAACTTCAGATTCAATCCTTTCCCAGACATTCAACCCAACTTGCGTCAACTAACCTGCCTGGAAGTTTCTAGTATGCCTAGTAAGATCATGCCATGATTAGCAGGGTCAAGTCTGTTTAATTTGGGTTGGAGTTGAACTCTGCTGGACAGTGGCTCTTCAGGAGCAGGACTGGCCCAGGTATATACGCTTACCATGCTGCATCATGTTGAGTGTGGGTTGAGAAGGTTTGGGTGGCTGCATGCCAGGGCCAAGGAAGTCCAAGCTTATGTCTACATTAGAGTTGGACCAGGTGGAAGGCACAGACACTTTGGGATTGGGCTTCTGGGCCATCGGTTGCTGGGGCATCAGTGAGGCCCCCATAGTCTGCAGTGGCTGCAATGACCAAAAGAAAAGTCAGTCAGTTTTAGGACAAACCATTTTTGACAGCACCCATATGATCAAAAACAATGTTTCTTCTGATTTTGTTGAGATGATACTGTTCTGCTGCAATTCAAGCATGGTAATTAAAATTCTCGGATGGCCATTAATGTTTGCCAATGGCAGAATGACACAAGTCAGAGAAGATGAAAGGCAGTATTAATACTCCAGAACATTGCACTGTGGTCTTTCAGGGTTATCAAGACTCTTGAGCTATACAAGAAATGCTGGTTGAGAGGCGTCTTCCCCTAAAATTATTTCAGCATGTTATAATGCATCTCAAGTCCCTCTAATTATAGGGTGGGGTGGGGGGGTTTGCTTTTTTCTTTAGCCAAACAAAACTTGCCATTTTAAAGTAGGTCAGGCTTTTAGCATGCAAATATTATCTCTGTGCAAGGCTTTTGTTTCAATTTAATGGTTTTCTGACTTAAACTTGTTCCTCCTCATTCTGCCATTCTCTGTGATGGGCATCCCAAGGGGACCGGGGTTGATGGGTAATGAGGAGGGGGTGGGTGGAAAATTGTGCCGATGCTGCGTGTTAACCCTCGCTCGTTTCGCTTTCATGTTGCCTGCACTCTAAACCGCTGGCTCTGAACCCCGGCCAAAATCGTCTTTTCTTGCGTAAATAGTGTTTAGTGTGCAGTTCCACTTAGATGAGCTGCATTAAGTACTCCACAGATGGGGGATCTGAATGAAAACCACATCTATGTGCAATACAGGCTCTACATCACTAGGTTTCATCTTGATTCTTTGTGCTGTAAACACAACATTGAGGGACGGCAATACACCAAAGTCTATTAAATTGGGTGTGATACCTAATAAAATGCATAGGTACAGATTTGTAAGTTAGGTTAAAACTATAACGTGTACAATGACTCTGCCTAATCAAATGTTTTATGGCTTACATGTATTATTGTTGTGGGGATTTATTAGTCTATTAGCACTGAGACCATTTTTGTATTCTAAAATTTTACTAAATTATCTACCAGTCAATATACACATTTAAAATGTAAACTACTATTGAAAAGATTTTTTGAATGTTTTGGAAAGAGGTCTCTTCTGCTCACCCAGGCTGCATTTATTTGATCGAAAACAGCACAATTTTAATATATTATTGCAATTTAAAAGAACTGTTTTCTTTTTCTATACATTTTTTTTATGTTATTTATTTAGACGGCAAAGCTGGATTTTCTGCACCTTTCACCATTCTCCAGTCTTCAGTGTCACATGATCCTACATTCTAATATGCTGATTTGCTGCTCAAGAAATTTTTTTTTTTAAATTATTATCAATGTTGAAAACAGCTTCATATTTTTATGGAAACCATGATACATTTTTTCAGGATACTTTAACTGTCACTTATAATCAATTTAAGACAAAATTATTTATTTATCTAACCCCAAACATTTGAACAGTAATGTTTTTAATTTTTCTCTTCTCAGAAAATGACCAAAAATACTGATGACTCATCTTGAATGCAAGGACGTAATGTCATTTGTCATCCATTAAAATTAAATTGTAAGTACCACCTGCAAGTAGAAAATCATAGTTTTGTTGATGTAAACTAAAAGCTACTTCCTATTAAAAAAAAATTTGAACAAGCTCAACTGGAGCTTCAATAACAAATAAAAGTGGGAAAGACTGTGCTCTTTAAAGCATGGATGTCCTGAACTAAAAGATCATGACCGTATTATGTATCGAGTACTCTTTCTTCATATTATATAGATAGATACATTGAGGGAAATCTCAAAGCCAGCAGGCACCTGTGATTTGGACGCTGGCATGCCAATGGTCTGAGAGGTCGTCATGGAGAAGTTCATGCTTTGGGAGGTGCTGAAGTTAGTGGTCTGGGAGGAGCCCATTAGGTCAAAAAGGTCAGATGAGGGTGCCATGGATGCAGGAGCAGGGGCCACCTGCAGACCTGAGAAAAGGTCTATTCCTACAGAGTTGACAGGCTGGGCTGCCGGGACAACTGGTTGGGCTGCAGGAAAAGCATTCCAATCCCCAAAGTCTCCATTTCCACTAGACGCTGGGGCTGAGGAAACACAAAAGTCTCTGATGAAATGGTGCGCAGAGGAGCACAAATACTATAGAGAGCTCAAGTATCACAGAAGGAAGCTGTAACAGTTCTGAAGCGTTTTGATCAAAAGGCAAATGTGTGCCTTAACTGCACTAATCCAAAATATTGCTTCGCATCAGGCTTTATCATCTAGCAAATAAAACAGAGGATTTGCATGCAAATGAGCAACACAAAAATATAGAAATGTAAGAGAACCAGTAATGAAATGATCAGGGCACTGAAGAAGGATTAATATCAAATGAATCTCAGACTCTCAGTCACTTCAGCTCTGTCCCAGAAATGCAGAGGGGAATGTGTCACACCCAACAAGAGCTGAAATGTGTCTTTGCTCATTAGCTTTTAGCACAGCAGCCCACCATATGGCTGCCTCCTCCTTTCACTATTTAAGAGCTTTCTGCTTGGAGTATTTCATAAACAGGCAGCTGAGGATAGCAATCTCTGGTCCAGCAGGAAAAAAAACTGCCTTCTGTTATATTCCCAGAACTATATTTAAATAATCATAAAAAACACACACATATACGCACTTTGTGTCTTTCAAGTTGTACTCCCTTAAGGATTTCATTTTAACATGCGAGTTTAAGTAGAAAAAAACTTTTTTAGACTAAAAAAAAAAAGTTTTCTGTTTGCATATCTTTTAAAGAGCAGTATGGTTACTGTCATGATGGTCGACTAATCAATAGCTAAGTTCAATAAATGTATCCAGATTTTCTGGTTACTAGTTCTGATATTATTAGTAAGGGCACTTTAAATATTGTGCTAGACTGTTAAAACATTAAAACCTTCTCATCCCCTTCAAAGCACTACTGTTAAAGCTATGCACATTAAGACGGATGTCTTTGGACATAGCATATTTTGTATGTTATAGATTTATATTTAGAAGTTGGAATATATTAAGTTTAAGAAAGTGTAACTTCTAAAAGTATGTCACAGGACCTCAGTGCTCTGTTCCATTCAGTTCCACAATGTCCAGCTGTTTCTGTCTTGTGTAGTCTTCAGAAACATGTTTGATTGGGGTTATGTGAACCCAAAACCTGCCTAATTATAGTTTTCTTGAGAGCAATGAACTGACTTGTCATTTAGGAAACACACCGACTAGTAAGTTTTGAAAATACCATTCAAATGTTTGGGGTTGGTATGATTATTTTTTATTTTTTTAAGGTTTTGAAATGAAAAAATATATATATCATGCTCACCAAGGCTAAGTTTATTTGATAAAAAAAATAAATAAAGTGAAACAAACTTGCTAAATATTATTACAATAATTTTAGATTTGAATATATTTTAAAATGTAATTTATTCCTGTGATGCAAAGCTGAATTTTCAGCAACATTACTCAGTTTTTTAGTATCACATATCTTTCAGAAATGATTCAAAAGCTGATTTGCCACTCAATACATATTTCTTATTATTATCAAAGTTGAAAACAGTTGTGCTGCTTATTATTTTGATGGAAACCATAATACTTTTTTGTCAGATTTCTTTGATGTATAGAAAGTTCAACAGAACCGCATTTATTTGAAATATTTATTTGAAATAGAAATCTTTACAGTCACTTTTCATCAATTTAACGAGGCCATGCAGAATAAAACTAAGAATGTTTTCCTGACCCAAACATTTGAACAGTAGTGCAAGTTGTAGTAAGAAGATGTAAAAACAATAAAGAGTTTCAGGTTGAATTTTTGACCTGATAGTGTGTTAAGAGGCTATAAACATACCAGGTGATGATGGAAGAGTTGCTGCAGCTGCAGAAGAAGAAAAATCAGCAAAACCTCCAATCAGGTCAGATTGTAAACCTAAAATGAAAGAGGGTGGTTCAATTATGACATTCTAGATTTGCAAAACATATCAATTCCTAACTAATTTCCTAAGAAAAAGACAAACATGGAGAAAGAACAAATAAGAAACATCTGTTGGCATCTGTAATGGACATACGCACTCTCTGCGTGTAACTCACGTTACATTCCAGCAGCCTGTGGCTGGAGTTATGTAGAGGAGGAAATATGCAGCTGTTTGAATGCTGGAGGAGGGAGCAGGACAGTTAGGAGGAGAGCTAAACATCTGCTCAGCACTACACACCCACCAGGGACTGCTTTGACATCTGGCCACCGTGACTAAATGCTTCAGCAGGCAGCAGGAGCGCAGGAGAGTGCATATGCTAAACTTATCTGTGCACCCCTTCTTTTCAGTGGGATACATCCACACTGCAAAACTAAAGGCATAACGCTTCTTTCTACTTTCACTTATCTCCTCATCCATTCTTCATGAACATCAACTACAGCTTGCACGACTACTAGACTTTCTACGATAGTCGGTGTTCAGAAGCAACACTGGCTACGTCACTTGATTTTTTTTTTTTTTTTTAATATATCGCTAGAATCGCAGCACAGATCAGTAGCAGGAGTCAGATTTCAATCATTACAAGAGTGAGGAGCTGAACTAACAAGGTGATTATGTGGAATATTTGGTGTCAAAGCGAAATTTAAAGCGAACTTGTATTTGGACTGTTTTGTTGTTGTGTTTTTCATTAAAGGGTAACTAAACCCCTTGTCAGAGCCTGACTCCAGCCACTGGCAATATTTGAAAAAATGCTGGAAAAGTGGGCAGAGCCCAGCGGAGGGGGAGGCATGCACCTGAGACGGGTCTCTCTGTAGGCAAGGGCGTGGTTAGCTAGTACCCTCTTACGTCACAGGGCACCGCAACTTCCAATAGTATAATTCAACTGCAGTAGCCACCGTTCAAACTGAAGAGGGCAGCACTGTTTTTACACCATATATTGTAGAATAAAAACACTTTATACCCAAATGTCAAACAAATTACTTGAAATCAATGAACAGCATTAGTAAAGCCCCAGTCTTACAGATCATTAACTAAAAAAAATTATTTTAGGGTTTAGTTACCCTTTAGGAATAATAGGCTAATGGTTGGTAAAGCACAATTTGAAACTAGTGCGCACGGTTGCACGTGTCCACGGGTGCAGAGCGAGCAGAACAGGGAAAGCCTTTCAGTTCATTCCTATGGAAAAATGCTTGCTCGATTCAAGGGATGAGTCACGATTTTTCGGAATTTCGATTAGTTGATTTTATTATAGAATATCGAATTGGTTGTGCGATTATTGTCTTTAAAAAAAATCCCCATGTTTTCTATTCTGATGCGGTGGTGATACGTTCATGTAACCAGAGGGTGGCAAGATGCCAATAATGTATCTAAAAGCTGTCAATCAAGTCTTAGACAACAGAAGAAGATATACATTGTCTCACACCAGAGCATGTGAGCAGAGTGGTAATATTCCCTCCAGAGCGGAGAGCATCTTTATGAAGACTCAGCGCCGCTAGCTCAAAATGCCCTTTGTGACATGCTGGTTAGAAAATATGTGAAATAAGTAGTCAAGGGCTGCCCATGGAGAAAGTTTTTTCTAATTGACTAGTAAATGAGTCATGCTGCTTGCTAATATTGCAAAAACAGTCATGTCCTGCTTGTAGTTTCTGTATCGTCTTTCACGGCGATAATGGAGCATACATTCAAGATGGTTTGATTTTTTTTTGTCTTGAACACAGACCATCTCAGATGTCAGCAGCATTGGTATGGTCGAAGCACTCTTTGGATTTAGTGAGGCAGAACTAATCGACTAGTTGGTGCAACCCTAATTCCAATACGGATGAACCCTTCAATATTACCACTCCCAAGCACCCCACAGTGAATTGTTCTTGCGTGTGCAATTGAGGTAGCGCTGAGCCACAAAGCAAACAAATGAGAATTTAAAAAAATCTAAAATATTTTCCTCTGCCAAAACCAAAAGATGTTACTACTGTCACCTTTGGAGGCTGGTTGAGCAGGTACAGGATCTGCCGAGAACAAGTCCACCAGACCAGAACTAGGCTGGTTCACTGCTGATGTGGTCTACAGCAACAAAGAGAGGACAAACGGAAAACACTCTTAACATCTACCACAAGATGTCAGTGTAAAGTACGCTCTTTTTTTTCAAGTTTAACATTTCATTTGTGTGCTATTTACTAACAAACCTCTTGTTGAAGTTGCATATTTGACTAGTCCAAGTGCTTCAGAGGTTTAATTACACAGAAAAAGACTAGTGCTAGTATTGTTTCATAGTAATGTTTCTCTACCTGGCTTGTGTTCGAGTCGGTGGAGGGTTTATCGCCAGTGTAACGCGCAGCTGCTCCCAGGTCTATCGTTTTGGATGGAACACCTCTCTTACGAGTGGCAGTGGTCTCCGTGGCCTGGACGATCTGGACGCTTTTTGTTGTCACCGTCTCTTCATCTTTAAATTCGGATTTCCCCATCTGCCCGTTTCGCGTTCCCCGACGGTCCTCATCTGCCTCACTATACAGAGATAAAGTATACGCTTGTGTAAAATTATTAACAAAATGATTTCTTTCTTTGAGAACAAGCAGAAAAAACACAATCAGTTCAGACACAATCAGTAACAAATGTTCATTTAATTAGTTATAACATTTTTGCTATTTGTGTAACAAAAAAAAAAAAGAGGGAAAAGTGTTTCCAGGTTTCCAGGTGATCTGAGACAGGAAGGTGAGACGGCCTGGGGGTCCTGACCTGAATCTGTCAGGTGAGTCGTCCCTGTCTTTTTTGCGGAACATGTTGATTGTGTCATCAATGGTGCTTCCAATCTTATCGCTGATCTCTCCCAGTTTCTCACTGAAAGGGAAAGCCCCCTTGCTTTTGTCCCAGTCTTCATCCCATTTTGAGTTTGATTCTTTGAAATCAAACTTGTCCTCCGCTGCAGAATGCATAAACAGGACAGCAGTGTGTTATGCTACAAACACATATTATAAAGTCAAGCTTCATTTAGAATAAATATATGACAATAAGGAATAAAAGGGTGAATCTCATTTCTGGGTCACATTTCACCCAAGCTCACTGATATATTTTTATGACAACTAAGCACATATTCCCGACCCAATTCAAATTACTATGTTTTCTTTTGAGGTTGTTTGTAAAAATGTCCACTATTCTAAATGGTGATTATTATTAGAATTAAATTACTTAAGCATAAATTAAAGCCAATACAATAAATATTACCAAGTTATAATAAATACTTAATTTAACTAATTTACAATTAGTATTTTGTTAATTTTGTTAAATACTTTTTTTATCAAGGGGGTGCTTAATTGTGATGAAAATAATGCAAAAATGCAGGCTTAATGTTATGCAAAATAACTTTAATTACATTAAAAATATATAATTTAATTTAGTTTTTTGTTTTTTTCAGGGGGTAGGGTGAAATATGACCAGGTATAAGATTCACACACAAACACTCGATATCAATATAAAGAGAATTGAGATGAGGCTATAAAGCTGTATGTATATTCTGTGACTGTACTGTGGTTACATTACTGGATAAATTTGCAAGCCACCATCTCAAAATCACATTAAAAGACATGTAGTATATATCAAGTTTCATTCAACTTTAAAAGGACTGTCAAACTAAAACAAGATACCAAATTAAATTTGAAACAGCCATTACAAATCATTGCATTGCCTTCTTTCCTTCCCAATCAAGGACACCAAAACTATAATTTATGCTGTCATGTGAAAAAGCAGCTAAGCTGGGTCTCAAAATAAAGCTAAAGTACAGTTTACTCATCTGGCAATGCAAACTCTTTAAGGATAATAACAGTGGAGATGAGACAGGGGACATCCTTGTTTTTAGATAGTCCCTTTTAAATAAATTCCTTATGATAAATGTGTTTGCTGTGTGATATAAAACACCTTATAAACATGATGGGGAGGACCGTGTGTGTGTGTGCGCATGTATACGACCTAGAAAAGGAAATTAGGGACTTACAGTATCTGAAACCCGACATACTGTCAGAAGACACGCCTATATATTTGTCCCTGTTCTTCTTGGCTTTCTTCCTCTCTTCTCTCAATCTGTCATCATCCTGGACAAACTCTAGCATCTCTTTTACCTTCTGACGCACATTGATACCCTGGTCTTTGCCATTCTCATCTGAAACACAAAGCCCAATCATCCATCACTTTGCAATATCTTTGATACATCAAACAGTGTACATGGAAGATGAAAACTTATATAAGCTCTTGCCTTTGTGCAGTTAACTCACCTACACAATGATAGCTTTCAATTGAACGCAAGTCATACAGGTGCTCTCTTGCACTCGTGACCACCCGTTCAGATCCATTTCTAATCAGGTACGCCAGCAGCAGTAAAGACTGAGGTAGAAAGGACAGTAAAGTTCAGGACCGATTACAGCAAAACAAAACTCCTGTTTCGTCATCAGTAAAGCATACCTTGTAAACTCTTCTCCAGTTTTTCTTGTTGTCTTTCAGCATTCTAGTCCACAGCATATTCATTACCTCAGGAAACTGCTCGTACATGAACGTAGCCCTGAATTGAAACCAAAGATAGGCAAAGCTTAGCTTAGCCCTCTCCATATCGTAAATATGTGTAACTGTTGACAGGTTCAGAGCCAAGATAAAGTTCACAGTAAACCATCAAAAAACCACAAGTCACAAGTAAACCATCAAAAAACCCCACTTGCCTGGCGATCTCCCCCATTAACTGTCCAGAGGGTCCCCATGGGTCGTCATTGGTGGCTTCTCGAACTTTAGACTCAGTTTCAGTATAGTTCATCACAACATTGGTTCTGTGAAAAAGAGATTAAAACAAAAATAGCCTTTCAATAAAGTCTTTATTCAGAGTGATTGTGTGATAATCTGCAGGAAAGAACCTTTCAGCAAAGGCTAAATATATTACTAATATTACTTGAAAGGCAGAAAGCTTATAAAAACAACATTTTGATAAATCAGTTGTAAAAAATAACTGAATTGTGAGACTGAGCAGATGTCCACGTGCCTTCAGTAATCATCTACATTAGGTGATATTTGTTATAGGCACTTTAAGTGGATGTCAATAAAGTTGATTCTGTTTCACATCAGTTTAATATTAGTTGAACATGATGGAAATTATATTAAAGGGGATGTCTACTGCTATTTCATCCATTCTGCTGTAAGAGCGGGCACACACATCAAACAGAGAGAGAGTGAGAACAACCCGCATCAACGCGCTTCGTTCAAGTTACGAAAGTTGTTTAAGCTACGAATTGTTTATTGTTTAATCAACAGTGATTATAAATAAACAGAAAAACACACCCTACTCAAACTATATCTATATAGTGTGTGAGTAATCAATTTAAAAATCCCCTATGGTTGCATAACTTTTTATTGAAGGAACAAAACAGTTAGGACAGTTATTCAAATAATCAAATCTCAGACCACACCTTCATTCGAATACCAGAGGACGGTAAGCTACGAAGCAGGGCACCAAAAGCTCTTATTATGTGAAACCAGTTTAGCACCAGAGGGACATTACCAGAGTAAAGAGTGGTTATACAAGACACACGAGATCTCAGTATATGGGTGGGGTGTAGGACAGGCTCTCTGAGAATAGAGGGTGGATCGAAAGCACCATGAGGTCCTGAATCTTTCCGACTCCTGGATTTTTTTGTGGTTATAAAAAAAAAAAAAACAGATCTTGAAAATGTGGATCTTGTCTCATTTTACAGCCTATTGAAACAATACATGTGTATTGTCTTGCTCAATGGAAGTGTAAACTGCAAAAATAAAATACAATCTCCCTACATCCTTTTCTCTTTGTTTATTCAAGGTTTAATCACTCAATTACACAATCACCTAGACAAAGATAAAATTAAAACGACCAAAGAAAAAGTAAAAAAAAAAAGATTACTTTAAGTAACTTTGGCATAGTTTGGCAGAGTTGATAAAAAAAAAGATCAAGACATCCGTTTGCTTATGCTTTCAGGATGCAATTTACTCCTCCTGAAAAATTTGGGGAAAACAATTGTGTCTCAATTCTTCAAAAACATACCAAACCGGTCAGCTGCATTAACTGGTTTCACAGCTTGAGGATAATGCTCTAATTTCAGGTACTGAAATTCTTTTCACAATTACTTGAGCCTGTGGTAAGAATACTAAAAATATTTTTATACTAAAAATACAAAAAAACACTAAAGCACTCCTGTGTCATCTCAGAACTTGCACACTATTTTGGAACAAGCCAGCATGAAGCTAAATTCCACACACTTCGCCAGTCCACCCATGGCTACACTTGGCAAATCGTCTGTAAAAAAAAAGATCATACTGTTGGAGATGACAGACCGATTTTGCAGGCAACAGCTTGCTACATTGTTTTCAAAGTTGCTCTGTAAAAACAGGAAATGACAATGTTTTTTGTTTGTCTTTTGGGGTCAGGCTATTTTGCAGGTCATGATGAGAGATGGTATTGATACTTGCTTAATATTCAATATCCAGCATACAAGATATAAACTTTTTGCTTCTCCAATATTTAATTGTAGTCTCTATTATCTAAAAGAAAATGACACAGTATCAGGGATGTACCCAGTTAGGCAACACCCAAATGTCTATGCAAACTCATATTTGTGAATTAAGGCCTTCAGTGACCGTTTTTCTTTACCGTCAGAGAAGGATAAAAAAAAATATAAAAAAAACTTAGGTTGAGAGTTGCACAATAACCTCTTTTATGATCATTATACTGTATGTCATTCTTGAAGCTAAACTCATTCTCCCCAAGTTTCTGTTGAATAACAGTAGTAAAAGCCATTTTGGTTCTTCAATCAAATGAGTAAACAGACAGACCGACTCTAAGACACACAAGTCTACGGAAATAAAATCAAAGTGTAGTCTGTGACTATGACCAGCAGTTCATTTTATGAAGGGGATTTGATTTGTCATTGACCTTGGCACTTCTCAAGACATACATAATTTTAAATAGCTGTACTTGCCTTTTGATCAACCACGTAAACTATTCATAAGACAGCAGTTGTGTCTGTGTGCAAGAATTTAACCTATAAATGGTTTCTGAGAAATTGTGAAAATGAAATACTGGAGTAGTCTGAAAAATTATTAACTGTGTAAATCATTGTTTTATTTTTTAATTCACATGCCCTCATAATAATGTCCCCTCCTTCTTGCCATCTCTTCTCTGATGCGTTTCTCTGAAGATGCATGTGGGCAGGGCAACTCACATTAGATCACACTCACATTAGATCACAGCAATAGCAAACCACAAACACCCAATCATTTCCAATTTAAAAAAGTACAATTATTATGTAAAGGCAAACATGACAGCATGTCGTACTGGACTAAACCACTGAAATTACAGAATGCCACTAACCTCAAAGTAGCCTAAATGTTTATCTTTTAAATGTTATTTTCATGTGACAAAAGCACTGTAAAATTTGTAATAAACGCATTTTATGTATTTAACAAAAACAAAACAGACTTATTTTGTTGGAATTTTTTTCTTGAAAAAAAAAATTCAGTTCCTGTCCTTGGTTAAATGGTTAAAATACAAGTTTCAGTCTAACTTCAGGAGTTTTCATGAAACTCATTCATTGGCTCCAAAATAGCAGCTAGGCATCCATTTTTATACTTAACGTTACAGTCTTTCTAACAGGACTGCAACCAGAAAGTTTGACAATTAATCAGCATCGGACACCACACAAATAAGGCAAATTATTTGCTTTTCATTTCAGGCTAACTGATTAGCTTGCACAATGCCTGGAAATAGCTGTCAAATATGAAAGTTATGGTCACTCTATTTCAACTAAAATGTGTGCTCTTACTTTGCTTTTAAAGAATTTTCTCATTTATAATGTTAACAGACGACACGCTAGTTTGGTATGAAAAGCACTTGCTATTGGTACACAAGCACCGTGTTTTGACAGCCAACATAAGTTTAGCAACTGTCATAAAATTAGCCACTGAGTTCAAGAAACGAAGTCTGAGGTAATCGTTTGTCTTGCAAACAAAACTAAGCCGTGATAAACAAGTGAAAAGGTCCGATAAAGTATAGTAACCGACTGGAAAACGACTGTTCTATATACACTGTCGTCTTTTAAGGGGACAACAAAGATGTAGTTAGCTACTGTGCTAGCTGCTGTCTCGAGAGTGTGTGACGTCAATGAGTGCGTACGTGTCTTGTTTTCAACAGGTAGCCGACAAGACACCAAAAATACTTATGAAAACATTCACAATACTCACGCTTTATCAACCAGCTCCCTCACTTTCCACATATTCAACATCTTGGCTGTGTTGGTATGTCTTTCGATCGCGAAAAAAGGTGTTCCAGCCCTTGAAATCCGCTGGTCGCGCCAGTCGAGCTGTCACGACAGCCAAAGCATGAACTCTAAAGTTACGCTGCTTCAGGCAGCGATGAAGGAGCGCAGGCCAGACAGGTTACTACGGAAATGCTCCGTCACCTACGGAAATTTCGTAGGCTGCTTCAGCACAACACTACATCCTTGATGAGGATATGACACATAAACCACAATCTTCCAGAAGAAATCAGTGAATAATAAAGTTTTTGAATTATAAATAAGCCACAAATGTTCTTCAATATATGTTTGTTTAGTGTTTGGAACAACATGAGTAGGCTAAATGATGTCTGAATTTTCATTTTTGGGGGAATTTTGCCTATTCATTATACCCCTTTCGATCGATCAGTTCAGAATTAAATTGGGAAAATTACTTGCGATTCAGTTCTCAATTGTGAATTGAAGTAGGCCTACCAAAGCAGAATTGCAATTTTAATGTGAATTTAAACAGGAAGAATTAAATAAAAATTGTCAAGTTGTCACAATGTCTTGAAACATGTCATAAATTAATCATAAATGTAGGCCTATATAAATTACAATGTTCGTTTGTAACATTTTTGCTAATTTATGTAGGCTATTGTTTTATGTCATTTAAATTAATCCGAAAAGCCTAAAAGGCTGTAACAATCCACCATTGGAGCACAAAATAAGGTGTGCTCAATGAGCAGTATCTTTTCCCCCCTCCTATTGACAATAATCAGACTGTTGAAATGCTGAAAACAGTTTTAGAGCCAAGACTTTATGTACCTAAAACCTAATAAACAACACTGTAGCTAGGCCTATAAATCATCAGAAAAAAAAAAAAAAAAACAGGTCCTCTTTATTAGACGGACAGGTCCTCTGTCCCTCTAATAAAAACCCCTGAAAAATTGTAAGTTGCCTATCAAAATAAGTTTAGAATTTATATAAAATGTAGACAAATTCAATGTATACTGTGCAATGCAAGTTTCAGTCACATCAGTCAAGTATGAGACATTAACATGGTAGAAAAGAGAAAGTTTCTGGGTGTCAGCTTCAATAGGTAGTCCATTTCTCAGGAGCTGAGATGCCAAGACTTTGTGTGTTCTGGTAGATGGGCCATCTTAGTGACGGGTGAAAATGGAGGCCCTTCCACAACTGACAGCCCCCTGGGATAGAGGAGAGCCTCTCATGGAAAACAAGCATTAGGAGCTTCTTGCACACTTTAAATAAATAAATAAATAAATGAAGAAAAAAAAAACAATGAAGAACATCACAGGAAACTGACAAAAAGAACCTATTTTACAAAAACATAGCATGACAAGAGACAGCACTTAACGTCCCCAAATGCACTACACCCATGGGAACTGCTTCAATTACTGTTGCAAGTTCAATGAAAAAAAAAAAAAAAAAAAAAAACACAGACAGTCTGACTACCTTTATTTCAGAGTCTATGAAGGAAATGCATTCAGAACCACATACTTCAGAAAACATTTTCCTTGGGACGCTAAGATGCATCTTAGACAGTGGAAGACAGTAACTTAGACAGTAATCTTTAACATTAACCTTAGTAAATAAAAATACAACTATTTTTTAATCTTAAACATTAACCTTAGTAAATGAAAATACAACTATTCATAGATCTAATGTAATCTAATAAACATTAACTAAGATTAATTCATGCTTTAGAAGATATTTTTCATTGGTCGTTCATGTTAAGCTGCAGTCTGCAGTTTTTCCTCTTTGTCACCATCTCTGTTTGAAATCTGCAATTGCAGAAGGTGTTCGGGGGTCTCAACGGGAGGAGACACCGGGGAAGACCTAGGACACACTGGAGAGACGGTCTCCCGGCTGGCCTGGGAATGCCTCAGTGTCCCTCGGAAGAGCTGGAGGAAGTGTCTATAGGGAGAGGGAAGTCTGGGCATCTCTGCTTAGACTGCTGCCCCCGGAACTTGGCACCGTAAGCGGAAGTAGATGAATGTATGGAATATATATATATATATATATATATATATATATATATATATATATATATATATATATATATGTGTGTGTGTACAGTATATACTATATACTTTGAGTTACTTTAACTCATCAAAGTAAGTTAAGCAATTTCAACTTTTTATGTTATACAAGATTCACAGATAAAAAAAATCTGTATTACTTAAAAAAGTAATATAAAAATCACTTAAAAGTTCATTGTACTTACTTTGTACAATTTTAAATTGAAGACAGCTTCTTTACAGTGTTGTTGAATATATGTAATATACAGTATAGCCTATGCATATACAACAGCATAAATACACGCAGTCTACATTTAAAAAAAAAACCTAATATAATTATTATTATATCTAATATATCTTATTAATATCTTATTATTATATCTAAGATAATTATAATTATATAATTAATTGCATGCAATGCAGATGTCATTATCAGTTGATTAAAAGGGTCCTATTATGCCCTTTTATGAAGTCTTGAATTTGTTGGGTGAGAATATGTTTTCATTCTTGATTGTTAAAAAAAACGCACTATTTTTCACATACACTTGTTCATTACATTATTATACAGCTCCTCTCTATCTCCAGTCTGGTTGAAATCATTGTTTTCGATGAAGCCCCTCCTTCCGAAATGTGATGTGATTGGTTAGCTGACCCAGGGTTTTGTGATTGGCAGCGGTTTGGAGAAATGTCACGCTCCTTCATAACAGCAAACTCTACTCTCTGGCATACATATTAAGGATGGTGTCAATTTCAAATAATTTCAGGCTCGATTCAGACCCTGAACAAGAGGATTGTGCTGAATGGATTTCATGCACAGACTTCATGCAAGCACGAATTTCACAGGACGTTCCAGAGTGTTATCCACCATTTAATCATATTTCTCAGAAAACTTTGGTAATACAAACAGTCGCAAAAATCACAGATAATATTCTTAAGGGGCGGTGAAGTCTTACAAAAGCAAGACCTTACAAAAGCTACAGTAAACACTATCAATTCTATTGTTAGTTAGCAGGCGAGCAGAGGCAAAACTTCGTCGTTTACATCAGCAAACCAACACATTCTCACCCCAAGGGGTCACCTTTGACCATTAGAATTGGAACTGTTAATAGAAAACACAACTAAATAATAAGATATACTTACAAGTTTTAACCATAAACAACAGATTGTCCAGACAAAATGGGAATGGCTATGTCTTTCAGGAGAACCTTTTGAGCATATTGCCTGCATAATCTGTCTGTTTGCTGTTCTCAGTAAAATGTGCAGCACGCAGGCAAACATTAAGGTTATAATGTTTAGGAACAGTGTTAAAGATACATTGTTCATCGTCAAAGTTCATCAGACTTAGGACAAACTTTTTCCGGGGGTGGAAAAAACAGCGACAACACACTTCATCTTCTCTAGCGTAGCTCAGCCAGGCCTCACCAACTTTTTTGTGTATTCCGTGGGCAGGGATTATTAAAATGAGCAATATTGTGACTTCATAAGATCCGGAAAAAGTGTGTTGTAATTCAGACGAGGTGTTCGTTGTAGTTCTTGAAAAGTGGATTCTGTTAGATATATCTCACTTTTGAGTGGAGCTTTGTAATCTTTTAAACAGCAACATTACACACTATGCAAAAAAGCATAATGTCTCCTTTAAAAATTGTTTTAAAAGTATTATGAACTATACTACTGAGAAATGTTGCGAGTGTGTAAATATGTTATGGTTGTTGATTTTATTTTGGCTTTAGATATAAGCAAAGTGATATTAATGAAATAAATAAAAAAAAAAATACAGCTCAACCAGTGGAAATGTCAATTCCATGGAGATATTTTGGCTGTAAGTGTTTAAAGGCCTCATCGTCTAAAATGGTCCATAAAATGTTTTGCCTGGCTTACTGTGATATTTGATCTTATCACCCAAAATCAACATTAAAATTTAAAAATAAAGTTTTTGCTGATGAGATTGTGTCACAATTTTGGTTTAAATATAAATGATGTTTGGAAAAATTGCATTATTCCGCATGGTGTGAACCAAACTGTCAGTAGGGGGCGCTGTCACACCACATAAACAATTTCCTCTCTTTACTTTCTTATCAACATATGTAAAGCCTTAGTCATATTTCATTCAGTATGTTTCAGGTTATTATAATTATAAACACCCTGAACTGTGGTGGTGCAATAATAGTTGGTGAATAGGTGCAATAATAGCCTACCTATTTGTAATTATAGATAATAGCTTATAATTAGCACAATGTTTGCAGAGCTTGGCAAGACACACTGAACTGTATTTAGATGAGGTTTTACAGCACTGTATAAACCAAACCATCTTAACAGAGTATCATGCATTATGAGCTCTGTCTCAACTTCATCGTACAATTACTGTCCCAAAACTGGCTCACAACACATACACACACACACACACACAAAAACAAACACAGTGCATCCTGGTGGAAAAGCAGAAGTGACCTGTCATGCAGAGAGAGGTCAGATGATGGATGACATGTGGGTGGTTCTATCGCTTGGGAAAAAGACCCAGGGGCTGACTGTGGCCTGTGCAAGGGCCAACAATAACATCCTTAAATAAAACAGCATGAAAAGAGTCCCCCATATCCCATAGTCAGTCCAGTGCAGGACTAAGCAATGAGTAGAAAATGGAGCAAGAGCTGTAAAATTAGAGCAAATGCCACAAACAATGAACATTGTTTTGTAATGGCATTGTAAAAGGGGAAAAACCCAACTATGCTGAGTTTCTTCAGATTGGAAACATGTGTGGTGAATAAAATAAATAAATAAAAATGTTAGATTTCCCACTCCCACTCTGAAATGATGTGCTGACCACATTTTCATGGGAAACGCTACAGCATAAACTGTGGAAATTAACTAGTGATCATTGTCCCAAGGTCTTCTTTTATAAAAGGCAGTTTTCACTGGCTTCTTGAGGCTGCTACATGATTATCAACAGCAGTTTGATTAACAGTTGTAACAGGAGTGATAGAATGTTGCAATGCATGTCAATATTATTGCATAACACATCTTTTATGTGTTGGTTGTAATCAACATATTTATTTGTGTCAGTCCTGAGTATTACAGTAAACAAACACATTCTCATTATTGTAAATCGCCTAT